ACAAATCATGCTCACACGCAGTGAAAAATACATCGCAGAGCAAAGATAAAACTGACAACACACCGACAGACAAGACACAGCAGGTTACTTCTGGTATGAAACAAGGTCTCAGGACTCTCAGCTTTCAAATTTGTATATTTTTTAAGAAATTCAAACAATAAATACCGTTTTGTGGCTCTTTAATTTGTCGTGACAGATCACTGTATTGCCTCAATTCAAACACGTGAACCAATCGTCTTTTCATATTTTCTCAAAGCACGAAATGAACATGAATAAACATCAGAAAGTGTTTTATTTCAACTGCAGAACACACCATTTTTCAAGTTTAAGTCCACCGAAGTTAATCTACTCTCCTGTCTGATTTGTGGTTAAAGGGTTAGTTCACCCAAAAATGAAATTAGCCTGTGTTTTACTCACCCTCAAAGCATCCTAGGTGTATGTGACTTTCTTATTTCAGACGAATCCAGTCGGAGTTATATTAAAAATTGTCCTGGCCCCTCCAAGCCTTTCAATGGGGTAAGCGGGTGTTGGTTGTCAACAGTTCAGAAAATGGTAAATAAAGTGCACATGAAGTAGGACATAGGCGTTGTGTGCGCGCCTCTGAGATATGCAGGAGCAAAGGAAAAAAAGTTTCCTTACTTTAGCAAAGGAAAACCAGTCTCCTCTTTGCTTATATTGAAATCCTCCGACATTTTTCTTTCCAAATTCTCGTTTTGTGCTTCTAATTCGTGAACGGCGTTTTGTTTTGTCTCCGCGTTCGTCACTAATTACGCAACGTCGACGTCTTACATCATCCGCCGGAACATCTTCCGTGTATGACAGTCAGCGGAAGTGAGAAAAAAAGTGTTTATTACATGTTTAGTTATTAAGTATTTATCACCCCCCGGAGCCGTGTGAGGGATGTTGATGAGTGGGAAGATGACATAAAGTGAAGCGAGGTTAGCTGCATTGAAAACAGATGAGCGCACATGTGCATATACAGCTCCCGATCGGGGGAAAGTTCACAGGATTTTGTACACAGAATGATAAGATCACACACATTTTAATGTATTATTTTATTATTTCACACTCAGTATTTTAAAAGTGCTGCAAGCGCTGCAGCGGCACATAGTGTTTAGTTATTAAGTGTTTATCACCCCCCGGAGCCGTGTGAGGGATGTTGATGAGTGGGAAGATGACATGAAGTGAAGCGAGGTTAGCTGCATTGAAAACAGATGAGCGCACATGTGCATATACAGCTCCCGATCGGGGGAAAGTTCACAGGATTTTGTACACAGAATGATAAGATCACACACATTTTAATGTATTATTTTATTATTTCACACTCAGTATTTTAAAAGTGCTGCAAGCGCTGCAGCGGCACATAATATCTGCGTTCTGATTGGTCAGATCGCCTGTCAATCAAGCTCTTTGCGAATGTCAATTGTATAATAGATAAAAAGAAAACAGATAGAATACAAAAATAATAGAGAAGCTAGTGTTTCGTTTTTTTAAGAAAACAAGCATTTAGTAAATGAATTGAGTGCATGTCTAAAAGGGGCACATTTTTTTTTAAAGAATAGAATTAGAATAGAGAGTGTTAGAGTTAGAGGGTCAAATAAAGATGGAAGAGATGTGTTTTTAGGCGATTCTTGAAGATGCTCGGACTGAGTTGGGCAGGTCATTCCACCAGGAGGAAACAGTTTGAAAAAGTCAGAGAAAGTGATTTTGTGCTTCTTTGGGATGGCACAATAAAGCGACATTCACTTGCAGAACACAAGCTTCTAGAGGGCACATAACTCTGAAGTAATGAATTTAGGTAAAGGGGTGCACAGCCAGTGCTGGTTTGGTAGGCAAACATTAATGCCTTGAATTTTATGCGAGCAGCTATTGGTAGCCAGTGCAAATTGATAAACAGAGGTGTGACGTGCATTCGTTTCGGCTCATTAAAAATTAATCTTGCTGCCGCGTTCTGGATTCATTGTAAAGGCAGTGATATGAAAAGCCATGTTTCTGAATGACAGAACCTAGTGATGCCATGTAGACAGAGAAGATAAGTGGTCCAAGAACTGAGCCCTGAGGCACCCCAGTAATTAGATGTTGCGACTTGGATACCTCACCTCTCCAAATTACCTTGAAGGACCTATCTGTGAGGTAAGACTCATACCACTGGAGTGCAGTTCCTGAGATGCCCTTTGCCAATAGGGTTAACTGTGTCAAAAGCAGCGGACAGATCCAGCCAGATAAGTATGGACGATTTGGAATCTGCTCTTGCCAGTCTTAGGGCTTCAACAACTGAGAGCAAGGCAGTCTTGGTTGAATGTACGTACACTTCAAATTCAGCAAGTTTTTGACTGCAGACTCTTACCGGATCACTAAATCAGTTGTTGGGTGGATCTCAATTGGAAAGCTGCATCAAGTGTATCCATTCAACACATTTCAGTTCACAAAAAAGATTTGGCAGAAAATGAGTCAGTGCTTGGCTCTTTCAATATGTCTGCGGGGTGGAAATCATTATGGTATAGACATGTGCAATTACTAGACATCTCATTCTAGTGCTTAATGCTAAGGAGAGCTAGCGTAGAAGCCTCTGAAGGACTGGACTAGGAAGGACTCAGCTTCAAGATGCAGCCTTCAATTCGAGAAGCACACATTGATTCGAGAGTCGCTGCAATCTGATCAGTCCACTTCATGAACAAATCATACAGTGCCATTTGATCAATTTAGTTGAGTAAAAAGTCAAATAAAACTAATCTGATAAAGTACATGTACTTGAAAAATATGTGTTGACTGTCTACTACTGGCAAATATTGATTTATATGTATACTGGTTATATGACTTTCTTTATTGGAACGCAAAAAGAGAAATTCATAACATAATGTCCAAGTTGCTTTTTGCATGCATTGACAGTAGTACAGTATAGTTTACAGTCTATTACAGGAGAACTTTAATGTAAGAATCTAATGAGAATCACTAAAGTTAATAATTTTAATTTAACAATAAAAAAAGGTGGATGTATTTTTGGTAATTAGAATGAGGGAAGAAATTGTCTTAAATGTGATTTATTTTTAGGGTGATCTAAACATGCTTTAGTAAGATTCACTCATATAGCTAGATCTGTTTGGTGGCTTTCTCCGTGATTGGCCCTGAAGTGAAACAACTGGGAAACTGGAATGTGCCTGCTTACGCTTCTGCTCCTCTGCCCCACCGTCAAGGCACCCATGATGCTCCTAAAGAGAGATTGTTTGCAGGATCAAATGTGAAATCGGATTCAAAAGATTGTCATACTTCTGCTAAAAGTGATAATCAAGACAATCATATGATTAACTATAAGACTTCTGCATCTGTTCCAAAATATGACTTGTCCAGATTTGGTCATCCCTCTGTTCAGTATGAGTCTTGTACAGATGCCTTCAAAAACGTGCAGCCTGGGAGCCGGCTGGCTTCAACTTCATCTCGGAGCAGGTCCACCTTGATGAGAACACTAGAAGTACCTGAATCGAAACCCTCTAGAGGTGAATCTAGTTATGAGGTGGCTAAAACTGCTGAATCTAACAAGATCTTTGTAGTAAAACCTTCTAAAACACACACAAAGCCATATGGAGTTCAACTCTTTTGTTACCAGAGACCCACTTGCAAGAGGCCCAAATCATGGATCAACCCCTATCTCAAGTCAGGTTTCCCATCAGTATACTTCATCTGAGGGAAGTCAGAGTAGCAAGCTCCAGAAAGCCAGTAGCAGTTACGACCCATTCATGAAGGGAAACCCTGTTTATTCAAGTATGAATCCAAGAAAACCCTCAGGTAGTGGATTTACATACACTGAAGCCAAGCCTTCGGTTGTTAGCTCGGGGCCAATCTTTGTAGTTCAAGGCGGAGGAAATGCTCAAGGTCTTCGAGAATATAGTGGACATCCAGATTCCGTAAAACCACTTGGAGGTCCCAGTCACGTTGACACCTATCAGGCAAGTCAGATCTCTAGATTGACTGAAAGCAGTCAGGGCAAATCATGGAATGAACCTCTTCACTAAACCATGAGTGGAAGTCAATACAGTCCTAGCTCTGAGCCAAGAAAACACTCCAAAAATGACTGTAGGGACAATGTTTCTAGCCCTGCGTTCCATTCGGAAGGCCTCATCCCTACGCCCTAATCCCTTCAAAGGGTTTACCCTCCGGAGTGAGAGCTTTGAGGGGTGTAGGGAACCCAAACAACTGTTTCTTGAAGTGCCCTTCTGAATCATCATCACGTGCCCACACGGAGGCACCGTCATCATGCAAAGGATCATGGGAGCCCAAAGTGTCCATCAGTTGTACCCTTCGAAATCCTTCAATCCGAAGGGCCCTTTGAAGTGGCCAGTTTTGAGCACTTCGGTTTGGAATGACCCTTCAATATGGCGGCCATGATTGTTTTCACTCCGAAGCGCCCTTCAGAGGGCAAAATATCCCGTTTGGAACACACTGTAGATCTTCAATTGTCAGCTGTGGTGGGATTCTTCTCAAGGCCCCAGAAAGTGCTCCGATAACCAAGATACCACCTCATATGAAGCTACCCACCCCAAATTCCAGCAGACATATAATATCCACGGTCAACCTAATCAAATCTTTAAGCCTGTATACCCCTCTCAAAGTGGAGCTCAACGTGATGTAGCAAAGTCCACAAATGCCAGTTCTGGTGCAATCCTGATGATGCAGGTTCCTGAAAATGTTCAAAATAGAGCACAATCCAACAAGCCCAAAGTTCATCCTGGATTTCCAGAGCGTAAAGTACCATTTGCTCCTGGTCAGACTGCTCATCAATACCAGTCTGGGTATCAGACCTTCTCTGTGAAGGGAACCACGAAACAAACCAAGTTCAGTGCCCTCAAGGCCTTATACAAGTAAATTAGGGTTCAGTGCAACTAACCCCACTACTGCTGGATCGAATGAGATCAATACAGTCCATGTAAGGCTTAATAAATCGCCCACAAGCACCTTTGGTAGTTTTCAGAACCAGTGGGCTTCTGGCGAAATTAGCAGTGGTGCTTTCTAAAGTTCCTTACCTCCAAGTCACCTGGGCCAGATGCCAGGTCAAAATGTACAAAAGCCTGTTAGTTCTTCATCCCATTGTTCCAAAGGAGTCCAAAGCCAAGAAAGCACCAGGCGTATTACTGCCATTCCAAGTGAGTTTGTCCAAGGTGCCATCCGAAGGATTTCTCCTACACTTTCCAGCAGCTACAGACAAGGTAATCACTTCATAATCACTTTGCATGTTTGAAATGTGGTTTTTAGTTGGAAAATAACTACTTTTTCCCCTCTGCCATAGCTGAGCAAAACCAGCCTCAATTTAACAGCTTGGATTCCTTGGCCTCGAAGTGTGAAGTGACCCAGAATAGCCCTGCAGGTTTTGGTCAACAGGGCCCAGTCAGATTCCAGGAAGCGAACCTCTCCATTTAGAAGCAGTTCTCAACATCTGCTATAAAGTGAGTACAATTGCTTCACTTACAGTCTACACGGAGAACGTCTATATTTGATTTTTAGCAGGATATGATCTGCCCTCTGCATGCAATACTGTAAAGTCCAAAAGTTGGACGGTTATTTCAGCATTTACAGCATCCCAGAAATCTGTCTTTGCTTCAAGAAGTGGGCTGCCTCATTTCCTAAGTGTAATTCAGGTTTTTTTTTATGACTGTGTTCAGAATGGGATTCCAGTTTACTTCACACTGTGCAGTATGTGATGTATGCTAACCACCATTTAAAAAGAAAAATGGATAATGCAATGAACATTTCAAGTGTTTTAGTTGTATGCTGCACGGTCACACGACTTCATGTAGGAGCTGTCACTATTTCAATGTAGTCGGTGGCATTTGAAACTAAATTCTCAATACCAGTTTCAGTACCTCAGAAATATTGATGCCAGTAAGGTTTAATCACTATTGCATAAATGGCAGCAGTTTTGTGTGCGCGAACGTGAAGTGCAAGTTTATTTCTTCCGTTCAACGTTTACATTCAGACAGATGCAAACCAACTGTGTTCACACTGATGCCTCACCAAGACTGGGATTTTGATCACGAAATATGATTGTACACCTGCTCGAAACATATTAACCAGCATGTTTACCAAACTGACCTAGTTGCATGTGTAACTCAACAAAAATGTTATTTTTGCCTCCTTTTAATCCGCATTGTGGGTTACAGTATTACACCCGGCATAATAAAATGCACTGCACGTTTTGGCAGCTGTAGTAGGTCATTTGGGTATTTAATGTGTAAAGTAAATGCCTACTGCAGAAATAAACCTTTTTTTTTTTGTTCATGACCTACAGCTTTGCAGCCTGTAAATGTTTTTTTATTTATTTCTTTTAATTGTTACGTACTTCTAGCATTTAACCATTAATAGTTTCTTTTCACATTATCGCAGCCTTGATTAGGTGTGTTTTGGGGAGGCTGTCAGTCATCAGGCTCCGGTCTTTGCAAGGACCGCAGGATGCTCCGAGTGATCCAGTGCGCTGCTGTTCAGAGGAACTATGTGTCTCTGATATACAATCTATAATATATCGTCTATAGCTTGTTAGATTATGAATAACTGCTAATAAAATAGCTGATTGTGACACAGATAGTGATGTTTGGGGTTTCACAGAATTCTGTTGTCCTCTAAACATCAGCACTAAATATCGAAACATGTCTAGTTTATGGTTAAAAACCGGCAGCAGTAGTGCCAGGACATACTTTATAGTGCAGTGATTATATGTTACAGGATGGCATTTTGACTGATTGTGTTATATAGGGGTGAATTCAGGTAAATTGGGACACTTTTTGCATTGAGATGACTGGGGGAAATGTCCCCAGTTAACCTGAATTATAACCCTATTTAACATGTAGAACAATTTCACTTTCTTTTCCCGCTGTAGGACATTTCTCATGTAGAACAATATCGCAATGGTTAATATGTAAGTATATCTGATCGACTGAAATAGATTTGTTACTGTAGTTAAGATGGTGTAATGGAAGGCCGCATAATGTTGGAAAATCTGCAGTTTGTGGTAAAAATCACATGTATTGCAGGACTCTATTCTTTAAATAACTAAGCCTAAATGTATTGTTTTAAAATGTATAGTTTTTACTGTACATAAGTTATTTCATTTTTATAAGGCTTTAGTTGACACAAACGTTTATTGAGGTGAACGTTTTACTTTCGCTATCATATTAACAATGACAACAGGCAAGAAAGCAAACACAAAACAGCCCTTAAACTGGTTGGGTTGCTGCATCTAGGGAAATTTGGGACAACTCGCTGCAGTTTTGTTACCGAGGCTGCTTGAAAGTGTAAGGTAAAACCTTCGTCTCCTCCCAGTTTTCTCCTATTTTGTCTCTTTCTCTTTAACAGACCCTGAGGCTCAGTCCAGCGTCGGGTAACAGTAGAAACAGCCACCACAGGACGGTCTGGGCCGAGTGTTGTCCCTATGGAGAGCACCCCGTCCTGGACCAGTGGTCCCATTGATGAAGGGCCATACCGAGAGCGCTCCGTCGACCCCGTAGAGATTGAGATCCAGCACTTCGGAGTGAGACCCAAAGTCAACAAGGATGCCAACGACAATACGACTGGGCCGGAGACGATAAGCTTTCTCCACTCCAAAGAGGAGCCCGTCTCGGGGACGTGTATGTGCGGACCTTGCGCTTCTGTGAGTAGCTGCAGGAAGCTCTTTTGTAGCGTTTTGACTTGTGGACTGTACCGCGTGTGCCGGCGCTTGCCTTGTCTCGTTTCGAGCGAAAGCTCAGCTCCCAAAGCGCCGGTGGAGAACCAGTCAAGACCTCCACAGGCTGAGAACGGCTTCTATTCCGACATCCGCATTGGTGGCGTCAAAGTGGACACGTCCGTCATTGATGAAGATCACGAGTCATTTTCCACTTCCAAAATCACGATGGACAGTCCGATTTACTTCAGTAGCTTACCGGAGGATGACTTAATCTGCGGCAGCGGGATGGAAGACGTGGACAAACTCATCACCCGGAAGCTCATGGAGGTCTTCTCTGAGTTTGAGATCAACGAGCTGGCCAAGTGCACCACGGACTCCATGTTCCTGCGGCGCTCCCGGGAGATCAGTCAGCTGATCTCGGATATCGTGGAGGAGCACAACATGGAGGAGCAGGAGGCCGAGTGCCGGCTGGTGCGAGAGATCATTCGCATTAGCACACGCAAGAGTAAGAAGAAGCCGCAGGTCAGGCCGCAGGAGCTGCAGCGGGACAGCGGCAATGACACCTGGAACAGCAAGAGGAACAGCCAGAAGAGCAGCTTCAATTCCATGAGCGATGGAAGTGAGTGGCAACCACATTTCTGTGTCTTTTCCTCACTATCTACTCTAGTAAAAATAATAGGGCTGGGAAAATAAATCGATGAATCGAGAAATGACTCTGCATCGATTCTGAGATTTTCCGAATGCATCGATTCTTTCTCGAGTCGATTCTGAGCTTAGTTTTGAACAGCAGATGCTTCATTTCTGCTTGTTTCCAAATCCTTACACACACTTGAACCTAATCATTTATAGAGTTTGAAAAGGTTGAAGTGAATTACAAGGGTGTTCACAGTGGGCTGTGTTTACATTAATCTCGCGTCATAAAAGCATTCTGAGCTGAGGTGAAATTAGGTGAATGTGATTTTGCCGAGTAAGACATGTTCCTGGATCACCAACATTTGTTGATCCTGGATCAACATTATTCTTCAAAAATATAGACCTATCCCTATCCCTACCCCTAAACCTAACCCTACCCATAATTTATCCCTAGAATCAGAGGGAAATGATGGTTGAATAACAAGGATGTAGAAGCACGTGGTTGTAAGGCTAAAATTGGCATTTCCTGTAAACGTATCCTTCAATTCTGATTGGTTGATTGGAATGTTGTTCCAGGATCAACAAGGATGTAGATCCAGGAACATGTTGCACTTGGTGAAATCACGTTCATCGTGAAATTACATGGCTCAGCTGAACGCACAAGCGCTCTTCTTCATGAGCGTGTGGTTAAAAACTAGATTAGATTGCCATCTGCTGTTAAAATCTAAGTTCAGAATTGATTCCGGAGAGAATCACGATGCATTCGGAAGATCTCGGAATTGATCCACGAATCCACGATTTATCGTCGCAGCCCTAGTAAAAAAGTAATATACATAAAATACATTTATTTCATACTGAGTATAGCTGAAATCTATTAACACATCTGCTGACATTACGCTCGAGACTTACAAATATAAAAATTATAAATAACTCTTTCCCCACCAAACACAGAATTTTCCGGGTTTCTGCTTTCTCGCTGTTATACGCTCGGGGGCGCGGTTACGCATCTCCTGAATGAGTCTAGAACCACTCGATCAAAAGCACAGGCGAGGAAGCCGCAGAAACGAGGGATCTCATTTGTAAGCATATGCATATGAAAAATAATGCGATCATCAACACTAAACGCATATAAATGAAAACTGCCTAATGCTACCGAGTGAAATGTCGATCCAGGAAGTGGCAAAGGACTGTGCAAGCTTTGGGGTGCTGATTGAAGCGATCTACTGCATCTCTGCTTTGATCTTCGTACTAATTTGATAAAAAATTTGATTGTACGTATTTGATAAAAATGCCATTTTCTTAGCTTTTTGCTCAATTTTGCTTTTTTTTTTAAATTTTTTTATAAACCTACCAGCCTGACCTCATGGCAATTCGTTCATATTTTACGAGGTGACTAATTTGTATGAATTCGTACGATCTCCCTCGTACAAATTCATACGATTTCTTCTAAATCGTACGTATTTTACGAGGTGCACAATTCGTATGAATTTGTACGAATGACCTTCTCCTAACACTACCCCTAAACCTACCCGTTACTGGGGTGTAGACAAATCGTACGAGTGAGGTCGTACGAAATCATACGAATTAGCCACCTTGTAAAATACGTACGAATTGGTCGTGAGATAGCATTGAACCTACTGCATGCTTGTCTTTGGAGCCAATATCCTTGTGGTTAGTACGTCGACATACAGCGCAGCTGTGCTCACGGCGACCCGAGTTCGATTCCTGCTTCGAGGTCCTTTGCCGATCCTGCTTTCTCTCTCCACCCAGTGCTTTCCTGTCGTCGCTCTACAGTCCTATCTAAATTTTAAAAAAGCATAAAAGGCCAAAAAATAACTTTTAAAAAAAGAATGCTGTAAGCTAGAGTGAAACAGATTTGTTTGTTTAAAAGTAGAGGATCTGTTCTTTATTTTGATGTATTGCATGTTCAGATATTTATACAACAAAATGTTGTTGGGGCTATGAAATTTTAGTGAAAATAATCAACAAAACGCTGGCGGTGGCTGGCAACTTTTCAAAAACGCTGGCAGGGAAAGAGTTAAACTTTATTTGGAGTACTACTTGTGCACAATGCACATTTCTTAATATTAAGCCAAAAATGTGTTTTATTGTCACTATTGATGAGGATTGTATGATCTTTGAATAAAAATGCAAGATATTTAAAGTGTACCTAAACTATCTTTGCAATAGTTCCACTTTAGCACAATCAAATATACTTCGGTTCATCTTTAGTTGGACTACTTCCGCACGATTAAACTGCATTAAGCACAAAATTAGTAGTTCCAATTTAGCAGACTTTAAGTATACCAGTTTAGTATACCAACAGTACAATTGGAGGGTATTTTTATTAAGCTCATAAATATGTTAATTTATTTGTAGTATGCTTGGCAAAAAATAAATGCATTTCAAATATATTTTAGTATTTCTTTTTCACTAGGGTAGTGCTGACGTTCCTGAAATTTCATTTTCAGTGGCCTTTTGCAAACGTTAAACTTTCGGCATCATTTACACACATTTCTTTCCTAACTTTAGTGGAACACAAAAGGCTTTTTTTAATGCCTTTTAAATCTGAATGGTTTCAGATGCTGTCTGAACTTCCAGTGTGTGTCATAGTTCTTGTTGGCAGCTATATTTAGAAAGCAAGATTGAGTCAGTAACACTGTTTGTCTATATTAGTATCCTGAATGCACCTGGAAATCACTGCATGCAATATGTTGCATATAGTGACACCTGGATAAGTAAATAAACTGTTTTGTTCTGTCTTTAGAGTTGCAGATTTCAATGGAGCGGTCAGATGACATTGAAGCCAGGAAGTTACGCAACAACAGTAGCCAGTGTAAGTAGAGTATTTGATTGTATGAGATATTTGATTTTTCTTAAAACACAAAACTGTGATTGATTATGGCAATACGAAAACATGCATAGGATGCATTTCACCCCCAAAACTATTTTCATGACAGTTAAAATTCCCATGTATGAATGCAATTTAAATATTTGTGTTTCAGTAATACACATCTGTTCAAAAGTTTTTGAAAGAAACAATGTTACACATTTACAATGTTATAAAAGGTTTAGATTTTTACAAATGCTGTTCTGTTGAACTTTCTATTAATCAAAGAATCTTGAAAAAAGCTCTGATCACAGCAATAAATGACACCTTACAATATATTCAAATAGAAATATTATTTTACATTTTAATAATATTTTGCACTATTACAGTTTACTGTATTCTTGATCAGATAAATGCATGAGGAGGGTCTTTCAAAAACATTAATAAATCTTACAGAGCACAAACTTTTGAACGGTAGTGTACATTACAAAATATAATTTCACATTACAGTAATGTGAATGAGAATTCTTATAAAATATCATAAAAATAATATTAGAAATCACAATGGTTCTTTTTTTTTTTATAAACCATTGTTATTTCTATTTCAATATATTTGTAATTACATGTTGTAATGATGAAGTTGCACTTTAGTACATTTAAATTATATTAACTTTTAATGTAATATTGAATAACGCAATACAGTTAAAGTAATCAAGTACTTCACATGCGCTTTAGCATGTTAGTCAACGCATCAAAATAAATGTACTTGAAAGATGATTTAAAAGTGGAACTTTTGGCATTTAATTTGACATGATTACAAAGTGCACAAAGTCTACTTGGGTGTATTAAGAAACATACATAGTCATGAAAGTGTCTAAGTACACTTAAGTATTGGGCTTTTATTTAGTTAAAATTGTATTACCTGCAAGTACAGTGTTTTGAAAATACTTTTAAGTACACTACAAGTGCACATCAAGTACAGTTACGTTCACTTCCTTTTAGCACAAGGGAAGTGTAGCTCATAACTGCCTCTTTGTAGAACCGCATTACATTGTGAAAGATTTATGATTCATAAAACAATATGCAGAGCAGCAGTTCATACACACAGCCAGGAACAGCACATGGTTTGGTGAACATCATCTATTCAGTTTTCTCTCTACATTAGGTTTCCATAACTGGACTTTTTGTTTGTTTGTTTTGTACAAATCATCGTTCAGGAATCTAGAATCGACCTGTGACCTCAGAAATCTAGCTCAGTTCAGTGGTTATCTCAGACGGTCCATGAAGGTTCTATTTCTCATGATTTAACTCCTATGAGATGAAATTGCACATTAATTTGAATCTTTTTTTTTTCTCTCACTTTCCCTGCAGCTTTCTCTCCAAGTTTGCAGGAAACTGGTGTGCCGATCACGTCGAATGCTCCTTTACTCCCCAGCAGCAGCATACGAGCGTGAGAGTGTCCCGTGCATCATTTAAATTTCCACACCTCCATAAACGATGAATAATTTGTCTCTGTGAGGAATATGTCCTCTGGCTTGGAGTCAGTGGCTGATTTTGAAGTATGCCCCTAAAAATTGTGATTTCATGGGTAGTTTATTTGAACATATCTGAAATGGTAGGAGTATTTATGCTTCTCATTTTCATAATTTCTTGAGATGGATGTGTGATGTATGCCGTAAGCCGACAAATGACTCGCTGAGAATGAAGAATTCAGAACTCAGAAACAGTCTGACCTCTTTATTGCCAGCAGGATGCACATATACACTCTTAAAAATAATAATAATAATAATTTTTTTCTAAATGGTTCCATAAAGAACCTTCAACATCTGAAGAACCTTTGTTTCACAAAAGGTTCTTTGTGGCGAAAGAAGGTTCTTCAGATTATAAAAAGGTAAGAAAGAGATGGTTCTTTAAAGAACCTTTGACTGAATGGTTCTTTGTGGAACCAAAAATGGTTCTTCTATGGCATCGCTTGAAGAACCTTTTGAAGCACCTTTATATTTAAGAGTGTACTGTAGCAGCAATATGGCCTGATTCTTTCATAGTGATTTAACTTTCCATTAATTTCTGAGATATTTCATCCAAAAAATGACACTTCTGTCATTTATTAACCCTTTCCAAAATTGTATAGTTGTCCTCCTTTCATAAATCACAAGTGGTGAATGAGGAATATCGTGGCCACTCTTCAGTATATAGAAAAAAAGCAGTTGTGTTGATGGTTTGGTCACAACACAATGGTTTTTGAAGACTTGTTATGTAGCGAATAAGTCATACAGACTACTTTTTAATGGTATCCCCAACGATTGGCCAGCATATTCTTCAGAAAACTCAGCTTTGTGTTGCACTGACGAAACAAAGGGTGTGCAGGGTGAGAAAAATGGAAGTCTTCATTTGTACATTTTGGACTTTTAAATCGTGAACTGTTCCTTTACTGCTAAGATGAAGAATGTATTGGTCAAATGTTGGCACTTGAGTGAACGTTTGGCTGTGCCAAGTTTGTTGGACCACACAAAATGCTTTGAGCCGGAATGAATGTTAAAGAGTTTTAAATGGGCCTGGATGCTTATTTAAACGTCCATAGAAACAACTTATGCACTTGCCATATGCAAAATCTAGCATAGCATCTAATCAATGCTTTATTTGCATGTATATTTTAATGGTGCAAGAGTAATTTGTTAGGAAAAAAATGTTTTCTTATGTAAGACTGCTATGTTTGCTTAATAATAAAATCTCTGTTGCTTGGTAAACGTGGATTCAAAAATAGATTTCATGTTACACAGGGTGCATGAGACCTGGTGAAAACTAGGCAAACTGAATTAAAGTATTTTGCATTTGCGTGTGCCTTCAGTGAAGATGTCAGCAGAGTAAATGCAATTGCGCTAACATTCACACTCGACTCCAATGCATCTGAAGTATGCAAGTATAAAGACATTAATCCATCATACATACTGCGGCACAGGTGAGGCAGGAAACGGTGCCAGAACACAACTATTTAAATGATGATTCATGTAGGACACAATTCTGGCTATGTTTACATGCACAGTTTTTGGTTCAATCAGACTGAATTCATTCCGATTGATGAATCTGAATGTAGTGTTTACATGAACGCTAAAGAAAGTGATCGGGTTGATGTGCGCGTTTAAATGTCACAAGCTAATCGGAATTGATTTTTTTTTTTACATGCGCACACTGGACAAATAGCTATAGAGTTTCTCACTGTTTGCACATGATAGCCACTCTCCTACACAGGTTTTTTTTTATTTTTTATTTTTTTTTAAACCGCAGAATTAATATTTATCCATTTATCACACAGTAAAAATGCCTCTCCCCGCGCCCAAAACGGGTTGCCTGTGGATGAGAATTCAAAACAAGGACTGGTGGGAGGTTGTCCTGCTCCACTTCACAGTTGCCGAGTGAAAGGAGAGCTTTATAATGACAAGACACGCATTTATACAGCTAAAGAAAGTGATCGGGTTGATGTGCGCGTTTAAATGTCACAAGCTAATCGGAATAGATTTTTTTTTTACATGCGCACACTGGACAAATAGCTATAGAGTTTCTCACTGTTTGCACATGATAGCCACTCTCCTACACAGGTTTTTTTTTATTTATTTTTTTTTTTTAAACCGCAGAATTAATATTTATCCATTTATCACACAGTAAAAATGCCTCTCCCCGCGCCCAAAACGGGTTGCCTGTGGATGAGAATTCAAAACAAGGACTGGTGGGAGGTTGTCCTGCTCCACTTCACAGTTGCCGAGTGAAAGGAGAGCTTTATAATGACAAGACACGCATTTATACAACACTTTATTCAAAAGGAAGAACCAATCTTCCGCGCGTCATGCGCATCCTTTCAGTTTCGGGGTTCAATCCGATCAAGTGTTTACATGCACTCTCAATCGTATTAGAAAAGGAATGAACCGCCCCCTTCAATCCGATCGAAATTTCATTCCGATCGAGCTCAGTCGGATCGATTAAGGTGTTTACATGAAGTTTTTTCAGTCCGATTGAGCCGTCAATCCAATTACAAACGGATTATTTGAGCCCGGTCTCATGAAAATGCGTATAAATAGTACGCCAAATAAAAATGAAAACTCGTGGTATTTATACGCAAAAATGGACTTTGGCGTTCATATGATACGCATGTGTTTGGCGTGCATATAATACGCAGTTTTCGCGTGCATATGATACGAAATTTGTTGGCGTGCATATGATACGCAGTTTTCGCGTACATATGATACGCATCTACCCCACAACCCTAAACCTACCCATCGCGTAGCATATACACGCCAAAGTCCATTTTTGCGTATCAATAGGACGAGTTTTCGTTTTTATTTGGCGTACTATTTATACGCACTTTCATGAGATCGGGTTGATTATTTGGTTGCATGTAAACGTAGTGTAAGTGCTTGAGTTAAGCTGCAATACAGCGTGCTTCGTATATCGAAACCATAAAACTTCCAGAGAATACCAGGAAATCGTTGAGCAGAAAGTGATATTTGCTTAAGGAGAAAGGGCAGAGGAATATGTGGTTCAACAAACACTTGAAACTGATCCTTTGTTTCACATTTGACACTTTTTGATTCATAGACTTTAAGTTTCTGCCTTAAGGTTAAATGCAATGAAAGTGTCATGTTTGAACAACACTTACGGAGCACACTGCCTGTGATCAAATGGATTTGTAGTCTTGCAGGCATTTAGTGATGTATGGAAAAATGGGTTTTGGATGAGTTATATGCACTGTGTGCAATATCGGTTTACTGCAAGAAGCCTATTCATACTTAAACTATCAGTCAGGGTGTCAGAAGAGTTGTTTTAATACGTCATCCAGCTTTTGTGTGTGATTTATCTATGAATTTATCATAAACGCATTGTGTATTATTTGCAAAGGCATTATGATATATGCAACTTCTTGAGTTCATATATATTTTGCCATTATGACTATACTACACTCTTAAAAGTAAAGTTGCTTTATTGGCACTGATGAATGGTTCCATGATTTAACACCCATGGAACATTTCCATTGCATTTAGAGTTGGAAAAAGGTTCTTTGGATTCTTAAAATGCTCTACACAATAAGAGTGATGATTCCTTTTAGAACCGAAAGGTTCTTCTATTGCATCGCTGTGAAAACCCCCTTTGGAGCCTTTATTTTTAAGAGTGTAACTCATGTTTTTGACATTTATAGTCACAACTGTCTCTTGATATGTGCACTAATCATAGGTAGCCTTTAAATCTAACCTATACAGACCAGAGCAGTGTTTATAGCGCCCTACATACACCGGTCCATAAACCACAGCAACATGACCTTACGCAACCTTTGCAGTCAGTGGCTTACGGATCGGTCTGTTTAGACCACAGTAATAGTTGGTTGTAATTTAATCTTGTTCTGTGTGAGTCAATCATTTATAAATCTGTCTGATTCCGTCTGTCATAATATCAAAAAAGTCTAGATGTGATTAAGCATAATACTCTCATTGGCTTACAGTGTATGTACTGTCGCTGCTGTATCAGTTTAACAACAATCCACCCTTGTTTAATGAAGCCTCCTCAGGGGGTTTTGCCAGGGAATACAGGGTAATTTGTGTGTTTGTCAAACGTTTCTACATCCAGGATGTCTCTATGAATCATCAGGTGTATGATTCATCTACTCCACATGGTTCAGGTAGCATCGAAACTCAAGCTTGTCATACCTGAGGGGAAATACTGAGACATATGATGCTTGCTTTGTTTGTTTGTTTGTACACGTAGCTGAGGAAAAATTGTGTACATGAATAATATAAGACGTATAAGGAACATTTTATTAGTTGAATTGTGGTGGGTTTGTGCAGTACCATACTATTCCGTCATTCTTGCACATTTTGTTCAACTGAGATAATATTCACAAATGAACACAGCTTTCAGAAATTTTGAAGCCTACATACAACTGCCTTAAAGGGATAGTTCACCCAAAAATGACAATTCTGTCATTAATTACTCACCCTTGTGTCATTTCTAAACCCGTAAGACCCGTAAACATCTTCGGAACACAAATTAAGATATTTTTGATGAAAATTCCGTCATTCTTGCACATTTTGTTCAACTGAGATAATATTCACAAATGAACACAGCTTTCAGAAATTTTGAAGCCTACATACAACTGCCTTAAAGGGATAGTTCAGCCAAAAATGACAATTCTGTCATTAATTACTCACCCTTGTGTCATTTCTAAACCCGTAAGACCCGTAAACATCTTCGGAACACAAATTAAGATATTTTTGATGAAATCTGAGAGCTCTCTGACCCTCCCATAGACAGCAATGTAATTACCACGATCAAGACTCAGAAACGTAGCAAGGACTTGGTTAAAATAGTCCATGTGACATCAGTGGTTCAACCGTAATTTTACGAAGCTACGAGAATACTTTTTGTGCGCAAAGACAACTAAAATAATGACTTTATTCTACATACGCGTCACCCTATAGCACCATTTTGGAGAGTATCACATACGTAACAAGCTATGCAACGTATGTACGCGGATATGTTGTTTATGTTGTTTATGTTTTGATCTGAACGTAAACAATCTGTTTACATGCGTTGCATACCTTGTTTACGTATGTGATACTCTCCAAAATGGCGCTATAGGGTGGCGTGGAGGAGACAAATTGTTGAATAAAGTCGTTATTTTTGTTTTCT